GTCCATCGAACTCATGGGTCTGGAAATACCCTTTCTCTGGATCTGACCGGCAGAGGCAGCTGCTGCAGTTCTGCATTTTCCTACTGCATGGTGACTCATTAGGCATTCCCTCTGACCAGAGCCTCTTCCCTCTCTTCACCTGGGCCAACAAGGTAAATCTCCACCAGAGGGCTTGGTGTAATTTCAGCTCCAAGGGGTGAAGGCTGAGGCCTTGGGGGCTGGGGCAGGGTGGGGGTGGGGGGAAGGGTGGTCCTGAGGGCAGAGGAGAGGATGGGAATAAAGTCCCAGCTGAGGCCTGGGATGCTTTGCATTTCCCTGACTCCGCCCTGTCCAGCCAGCGTGCAGGGCTTCACAAATGTCCATTTAGAAAGCTCCTCCCTGCTTGTGTGGAGAGGTCCCAGTGACTGGCCCCCATCAGACACAGGAAAAGCTGAGGAAGCTGGGCACTGAGGACAGTATGATTCCTTTTATTTTATGGGAGAAAGGAAAAAATACCTATAAAACAAATCCAGAGCTTTTCCCTGAAGAGTGGAAGGGAAGAGCGGTTTTCAGTTTCTTAGACAGTTTTACTCTTAGTCTATCAATGTGCCATGGAACCCCGAAGAATGTTCAAGTAGCCCTTCAAGTGTGAGTTGTATCTTCCAAATCAGTTGGACGTGGCTCTTCTACTCCAGCTGGGGCATCTCTGGGCCCTCCTCAGCCCTAGATCCTTTGAGCCAGGGCAGAGGGCCCCTCCCATTTGGATCTCTTTCCTTTCAGCACTCCCTGCCCCAAATCCTGCCCCTTCAGATTTTCTCAACCCACTGCTCCTACTCCCAGGTCCTGCCTGGCATCCGCAGCCTCCAAGACAGGGCAGGCGTCTGGCCACCCTGGGTTCTGCTCTGCCTGGGCTTGGACCCAGGTGGGGGCTGGTCATTGGGTTCTGTAAGGCGAGCTGAGCTTGCTCCTGACCAAGCTGATACCTCGTATCTGCTTGTATCTCCTGTTTATTGATGCGCTGAGGGAATCTCTGCTCTCTGTCCCCCTGGAGTTGGCCTAACTTTGGTTTGTCAGCGCCCAGGAAAAGGCGGGAGAGTCGGGTGGGAGTTTGTTATGGAATCAATGTTTGTGTTCTTCCAAATTCATATGTTGAAATCCTAACCCCCATCGGTTATGTATTAGGAGGTGGGGCCTCTGGGAGGTGATTAGGTCATGAGGGTGGAGCCCTCATGAATGGGATTAGTGCTCTTGTAAGGGAGATCCCACACACCTCCCTAGCTCCTTCTGCCATGTGTGGAGCCCAGACCATGCTGGCACCCTGATCTTGGACTTCGAACCTCCAGTGAGCAAGAAGTCCCTGCTGTTTATAGGCTACCCAGTCTATGATATTTGGCATAGCAGCCTGAACGGACCAAGGGTTAGAGGGATATAAAAACCCATTCTGACCTGTACATATGTTTAATTATTTGGCCAGAACTAAATTTTATTTTTCCATGGCACCTATTTCATTGTACTGGCAAGTGTCATCTCTTAATAAATGGTGTTCACAGATAGTTGTTCCAGCTTATAGAATTCTGGGGAAAAGAGCTTCTAGAATAGTGATATGTTGTACTTGCCACAAAATCAAGCAAATTGAAGGCGTCTGTGAGCGTTAACTCTCCTTATGACAGTCTCATCTGGTGGGATAGTTAGTAGGTAACATAGGGACCTTCATGACAGAGATTATAACAAGAATAAAATAATAGTTCTTATAATCAAACTACAGCTGGGCCCTGTGGTAGTTGGTGAGGAGTCAGTCATAAACAGGACATGCCCTCTGTCTTCAAGGGCTCCGAGTCTGGGTCATTTTGACTCAAAAGAATTTGCGGTGACCCTTCAAGTCCACTGTTCTCTCTCCAGCAGCCCAGGCTGATAGCCACCAGCACGCCATCATTTCATCGGATGGATGCAGATATGACTGAGGATAAGACACCTCACCTTTGATCCCTTCGTGATGCTGTGTGCTCAGATTTTGTACACGTGGTGCATGTCTGCACGTCTTTTTACATTTTTATCCACACCAGTTTTGTTTTTTGTTTCTCGGCTAAATTCCCAAAGATGATAAAGAAGTGTGTTTATTCATTTAAATTGCCTTGCACTAGGATCCACTCAGCCAAACACCTGGATGATATTTTGATAATGATGGTGTTGATGCTGACAAACGCTTGATAATTCAATATCTATGTAAAGTGTCCTATTTTTAAAAGAAACCTTGGCTAGAACCTAACTAAAATCATAGGCAATTCAGAAGAGGTTTCTTTTAAGAAAATGGCAAGAGAAAAGGCTTTGCAGACCCATCAAATGAGAGAACAGTGGTGCTCCTGGCAGTTTTTTCTGCTTTTGGCACCATCCAGGTCACCCCCAGAATGATGCAATGTCCTTGTGCACCTCGTCCCATCTGCCTCTGTCTGTATGGTCCAGGGCCCATCAGTCCTTAAGTGCTACGCTTCCTGCCTACCAGGCAGGCCTGGGCTTCCTCTGTGAGTCACTCTGTCTGAAGCCATGACCCGTGCAGCACCCCAGAGTGTCTCGATGCAACACTTCGCTATTAGCCTCCATGCTCATCCAGCAATTTCAAGAAGAAACTGCAAGATATTTTTCTCTGCCTAATCAAAAGCTGTTCTGCCAAACAACAGGGCAGTGAAGATGAGAGTTGCTTTCAAACCTAAAAGGAAAGGCAAACAAATACAAGACCAAATTCTGTTGGTTAAGGTGGATGCTTTGATATCAGCCTGTCAGAGATGGCAGTGGAGCCTTCCTCGACTCCTTGTGACCAGGGCTGATATTCAGCTGGTGTGCAGGGTAAAGACAGCTCTGTCCCACCAGCTTCCACGTGCCCTCTCATCTCCCAGGGAAGAAGCAAGTATGGTTCCCTGTTGGACAGAATGGGCAGCATCCACACTGCAAATTTAGTGATGAAAATCTCTAGATGCATTTTTTTTGGCAAGACTTTTGATAGCTCCACAATTATCCCGGAAGTTTTGCCTGGCCATGCCTCTGTCTCTGGCCTGATGCTCCGGCTGAACAATGCAATGAGAAGTGCTTTGGTAGCCCCTGCGTGCCCAACAGGTGTGTCCTCCTGAACCAGGGGACTAGAACTACCAGCTTATGGGAGCTGGGACTGTCTAGGACCACTTTCTCTGCAGATTTTGCAGTTGTAAGGCAAGGACCTTGCAAACCAAATTCTAGAAGATATCAAGAGGCAAGTGGAGGGAAAAAAAAGAAAGAAAAGACAAGTGACCAAGACTGCTGCATAAATATAGAATTGGTAGGATACTGCTGGTTCCCAAGAGGGGGACCATCATGCCACCGGTTCTCACCCCAGGCTGAAGGCCCTCTATTGGACTGTGAAGACATCTTGGGCGGGTCTAATAACCTGGGTATCTTCTTTGCCCTTTGCTGTGTTTCAACTTGAGACACAGAAGAGGGAGGATGGTTGCTGTGTGGGGTATGTTTTTGTGATACAGATGGGGATGTGAAAGTAAGGAACTCTGCAGCTAACATCTGAGATTTGCTACCAGCGAGGAAAACAGTCGTCAAGCACTACCCTGGGCCACCTAATATGGCGTCCTCAGAAATCCTGTGGAATGTTTTCAACTTGCCAGCCTCTTATGCACCCAGACATATATTTCATATTCCTCAAATCCTAGCCAAGAAAGGGAAGGAGGTGGACCTGGCGGGCCTGCAGGTAGCCTGGACCAACCATCAGGAGAAGCTTGAGTTTGGTGCTGGCTCCAACACCAACATATAATCTGTCTTTCATCTGATCCCTCTTGGATCCCCTGGATACGCTGGAAATAATCTTTGACAGGTTCAGCTGAAGTAGCTGAGAGAATGGAAATTTGGAGAGCAAGACCCAGACCACAGCAATCTGCTGGCCACACTGCAGACTCCCCTTAATGCAAGTCATCATTTATTACTAACTCCATTGATGACCTGCTGACTGTGGCCTACCACTTCACCAGACCGGTAGGAACAGATGGTCTAATGTGATGAGAGCATCACAGAGTGTCAAGGCTGGAACTCCTTCATTCTACAGATAAGGGAACTGAGCCCCAGGGAGGAAAATATTATAGTTATTCATTCACATTTCTGCTTCCGTAATTAGATTACGAGGTTCTCGAGGGCCAGGACTATATTTTTTGAAGACTCACAGCCTAGTAGAGGGCTTGGCCATTGCAAGATGCTCAATAAATGTTTCTGAAAGGGAGGGAGGGTGGATGGGAAGGGGACTTGCCTAAGGTCACACAGGTTGTAGTGGCAGAACCAGACCCCCTACCCCACAGGCTGCCGTCGGGAGGCAGGCATGCTGGCCGCTCAGGGAGCTGCGCATCTCCTTTCAGCATTGCCAGCTCTAGTTGATGCCTTCCCGCAGGTCAGCCTGGCTCTCTCTATTGCCCAGAAAGTGTCACTGATACCAGACCCCAAGGCATCTGCTGTTCCATAGCAGGGCCCCGGGGTGCTCCCCTGGTCTGTTATGTGAACATCATCAGAAGAACCGAGCCGGACTTGTCTCAACTCCCCTGATGGAGGGGCTGGGCCTGGGCTCTCAACTTAGGCTGGTGTCTCTGGCGGGTTAGGATCCAGATCTGGAGCCAAAGGAGAGCCAAGAGTGAGGGCCCCAGGGTCACAGGCAGGATGGAGCCTAGCAAGACATCCAGGCAAATGGGTGGCAGAATTCTGGAAACGTTAGTAAGGCAGGGCATCGGAAACCAAGGTCCAGAGAGCAGAAGGGACCTGCCCAAGCTCACCCCCTAACAGGACCCAGAGGGATTCGAGGCAGGGACGGTCTCTTCATAGAGGTGAGATGTTCTCTTCCTCGCAACAGCGAGGAAGAGCGGGAAGCCAGAGCAAGTCCCGGAGGAAATACGGTGCAGCTGCAGATTCTGTTTATAGGGCGGCAGCAGCCTCGCCCAAGGTGTGTCAGGAGTCGGGGTGTGGGTGGGACGCTGTGAGGGGAGCTGAGCCAGCTGCATGCCTCTGCGTTGTCTCAGGCTCGCTCCACTTTCTGCCAGCCCTGGGAACCTACCTTGCCTCTGTCCCTTGCACTGGCCCCTCTTTGGGGTTGAGGAGAGGCCGAGAGTTGGAAGTGACTCTTCTCTAAGCAGCCTTCAGGGCCCTGTCAGTGACATCATCTTCTGCCACATCCCTAGACAAGGTATCCCTTGTGCCCCAGGATTGGCGCGGAACCCAGAGCTTGGTCCCTGCCCCCAGGGGTCTTAAAATCTTGTTGGGGAACTAGGGCACATTTGAGACACCCAGCACCAGGCACTCTAAGGCCAGCATTGCTCTGGCTACACCGAGCGGCTTGCTCAGAAAAAGCAGAGATCCTCGCAGGTAAGTTGGCTTCTTGGAGGAGGTGAGGCTGGAATTGGAGCCCAAGCATTACACGCTGGGTGAGGGTTTTGAGTAAAGTCACTGCAGCAAGACTGTATGGGCTTCTCGCAAGGGCGGGGGATGGAAAGCTTTGGGGGCAGCCTCAGAGTCACGGGGTGAGGGCTAGTGTTTTTCAAGCATTTTTTAGCAGCAGAATCCTTCACCAAAGGAAAACTTAGGTATCAACGTGCTAAAAGCAGAACTGCTCAGCTTCCCTTTCACCCCGGGGTTAGCCCCCCAGGAAAGGAATGGAGCTCTACAGCTGGACTAGTTCAACCTTCTTATTGGACCAGCAGGGAAACTGAGGCACAGAGAGCCGAAGGACATGCTCATTGGCTCTCGGGCACGGAGGCAGACAAGATTGAGGTCTGTCTCCTCTCCCCAGCTCAGGGCTTCCCCCAGTAGACCTTACTCCCTCCAGAATGCGGCCAGACTGGGGAGACCTTCCACTGGGCTAAGGAATGTAAGTTCCACAAGATGAGAACGATGGAATGTGTTTGGGCAAAGGCATTCTTTCTGGCATTCTAGTGTGGCAGCCTAGCTCAGACTGCACTCTCTTGATGTTTCAGTCCCTTTATTGAGGAGGCTGGCATATTTGAATCATCTGAGAACGATCTCCAGCAATGCAGGGTCAAAGACACTGGTGGGGATGGTGGTTTGGGCTAGAGAAGGACAGGTGTCATTGGTTGAGTTTTGGTAAATAGATGAATTGTCAGTGGATAAGTTCAGTGGATAAATTCAGTGGAAGAATCAGAGCTTCTTAAACTGCATGAGAAATTGTGCCCATCCATTGGCCTAATGACGTGGCTTTAATTAGGAATTCAACAATAACTAAAAAAGTCCTCAGAGAAAGACAAATATATATCACTTGTATGTGGAATCTAAAAAGTACAACACACTAGTGAATATAACAAAAAAAGAAGCAGACTGACAGATATAGAGAACAAACTAGTTGCCAGTGGGGAGACGGAAGGGGGGAGGGGCCATATGGGGGTAGAGGATTAAGCAGTCCAAACTGTTATGCATAAAGTAAATAAGCTACAAAGATATATTGTACAACACAGGGAATATAGCCAATATTTTATAATAACTATAAATGGAATATAACATTTAAAAAGCGTGAATCACTGTATTGTATACCTGTAACTTATATAATATTGTACATCAACTATACTTCAATAAAAAAATACACCTAAAGACCTAAAATGAAAGGTAGAAATAGATAAATAAGCCCCATCTTGAGCTCACAAATAATGCAAAGAACTGATAAATATCTTTGGAAGCCAGACAAGACCTCCTGCCTCTGTCTTCCTTGCAGATTTGTCTTGGCCAAGCCTCCTTCCACTTGGCCTCTACCAGTTTTCGTGACACATCTTAGTTTCTGTTGCCTCATGGCTGAGAAGGCTAGCTGGGACTTGGAGTGAGGTGAAACACCTTAAGTAGGCAGCACATGCATTTATCCTTTTTTTTTTCTTTTTATTCTTTCATATGACCAAGCCTAGAAATGCTTGTCAGAGAACATCAGACACTTCCTGAGGTCTCAGAGTCAAACCTCCCCTCCACTATCACCCAGGAGAGCTGCTCTCTCAAGCCCTGAGTCCCCCAACACCATCTGGTACATTACACACGTGGAGTGCTTTACAGTTTGTAAAGAGCTTTCGAGTATATTCTCTTATTTGAGCCACACAAAAGAGCCGTGAGGCAGGCCAGCAGGCATTGTCCCGATTTTAGAGAGGGTAAAAGCAAGGGTCACAGGGGCAAGTAGACTTGATCAAGGTGGTGTCACTGGTTAGCGTTTATTTAACAGATATTCATTGTTTTATTTCTACTGCCTTATGGATGATATTTGTTGTTACAGCATGAAGCCAGATCTGCTGACTTGCTTCCCAGGACTCTTTCAGCCACACCAGGCTCTTTCTCCTAAGGATATAAATAAAAATGGATTTTCTGCTAGAAACAGGTCAAATGACTTAATACAACTGTAGGCAATTCAGAGGGACCTGGTAAATCCTAAATGAGACATGCTTCATTTGAATAACAAACCAGAGGAGCTCTGAAGCCTGCAGCATAAAGAAATCGAATTATACAGTTGGAGGGAAATCAATTATTGAGACCAGTGGCTTTTAAACATTTTTAAAGCACGAAAACCATTCTTAAAATTCAGTTTTACCAGGCATCTCAATAAGAAAGCCTATCAAAGCAGCATCTTTGTAGAACTTGAGGCTTCACTTAATATCTTTGGAAAACCCTCTTATTTATATTGTAGATGAGGAGACAGGCCCAGAGGCCCAGGGACAGGTCCCTTGGGGAATCTGTGAGCTGGGGCTGGAACCCCAAGCTGGTGGTATTCCCACTGAAGGGTCCCCATGCAGAATGAACTGACTGACCCAATTCACTTTTTGGTCATAATCCCCCACTGTCGCCCATATTACTAACACACCCAATCCTTTCCAGTCTCCTTTGCTCGAGCTATTTATTTCCTCTTCTCGGAATGTACTTCTGCCTATGAAACTTGCTTTTGTTTTTTTTCCGCTCCACACCTGGATCAAAGGCATCTCCCCTCTCCTGTGAAGTTTCCTCAAGGGTCATAGTGAGACAGACTCACAGTCCCACTTCTGAGTCCCTCTGGAATCTTTGGTGACATTCTTAGGATGTTCCGCTTTGGTCTTAGAGTCATTTGAGGCTTAATCCCACTCCTGAGATTTCATCCTTTTTGAGGACAAAGGCCCTTCCCAGGACCTAAGACAGTGTCTTCTTCCAGCTCTAAAATACCATGAAGCTATGATCTCAAAAGGTGTTACTCTAAAGTCTTTTTTTTTCCAAATGGAATTGTACAGAATCGGTCTCAGTTTTGAATACCCAAGCCCTGGCTGGTTAGATTCTTTTAAAGCTGAGCCAAGTTCCTTCCGTCTTGTCCTCTTCCTCATTCTTGAGCATTTATCATGCAGCTCTACATGAACACTGACTGACCTTGACCAGGGCCTGTGAAACACCCACAGTTGCTGCCTTCAGGGGCACTGGCTAAGGAGTCCGAATGACCTGGCCCCCCATCCTGGCCCTGCCATTTCCTCAGCAAGCCACGTCCTCCCTTAGAGCCCCGGCCTCTTCAGCCATTACACATGCCCACTCCTCTGTGAGGAGCTGAAGACAGGTACATATAGAGGCATTTATAAACTGCAGGCTGCCTTGTTGGCCAGCCTGTTGAAATCAGTGGGAAAAAAATTAAAGTCAGTGTCTAAGATTTCAAAAACTTGTGTAATACCAAATAACCAGTTTATCTGAATGTTCTCTTTCTAGTGGGTTGCTGTGGCATTATACAGTTATAGGCTTCCTACCATTTGCGGTTCAGCCCTGAGGCCCTTGTATTTGCTGCTCTGGAAATCAGCTCACTGTAATCTACTGACTCCAGTTGAAAATATACATTCATTTCCAAAATATCTTTTGAACATCTACTATGCCAGGTTGTTATGGGTTGAATTGTGCCTCTCAAAAAAGATATGCTGAAGTTCTAACCCCTGGTATCTGTGAATGTGACCTTATTTGGAAATACAGTCTTTGCAAGTTAAAATGAGGTCATACTAGAGTAGGGTGAGCCCTACTCCATTGTGACTGGTGTCCTTATAAGAAGAGGAGACAAGAAACAGACGCAGACCCAGAGGGAAGGCTGCCATATGAAAATGGAGGCAAAGATTGGAGTTATGCTTCCACAGCCAAGGAAGCCCTAGGGCTACTGGAAGCTAGAAGAGACAAGAAAGGATCCTCCCCTAGGGGCTTTGGAGGGAGCATGGCCCTACCGAGGGCTTGATTTTGGAAGTCCAGCCTCCAGAACTATGAGAGAATACATTTCTTTTGTTTTGTTTCATTTTGTTTTGCGGTACACGGGCCTCTCACTGTAGCGGCCTCTCCCGTTGCTCAGCACAGGCTCCGGACATGCAGGCTCAGCGGCCATGGCTCACGGGCCCAGCCACTCCGCGGCATGTGGGATCTTCCCGGACCGGGGCAGGAACCCGTGTCCCCTGCATCGGCAGGCGGACTCTCAACCACTGCGCCACCAGGGAAGCCCCATTTCTTTTGTTTTAAGCCACTTAACTTTGTGGTACTTTGGTATGGCAGCCTTAGGAAACTAATACATTGGCAAACAGGGCATCTAGCAGAGAATAAGATATAGAACTTACATTTTGATGAAGGAGGCATGACAATAGACATAGATGAATAAATATGAAAATGGTGGGTTCAGGTACTAAAAGTAGGGTCATGTGATATTGTAGTTCTTACTTGAAGGAAGAGAAGCCCTTTGTGTAGGCGGTGGGCTGGAACCAGATCACATAGGGCCTTGGGATGCTGTATGGGAAAAGGGATTGTCACGGAGCCACCATGGACAGACCTAACTGGGTTATTCAGATGGATGATGGTGGTTTTGAAAAGAGCGGTGGCAATGGAGGTGAAGTGAAATGGACAGATTCGAGATATTTCGTGATGATTGAACCAAAAGATCTTGCTGATGGATTGGCTGTGGAGATGGGAAAAGAGAGGAAGCAAGGATGAATCTAGATTTTTGACTTAAGCCCAAACCATTAATTTTTGAGTAGGTGGTGAGGTCTTTTATTGAAGTGGGGAAGATTAGGGGAGGCACATGTTGGGGGTGAGAGGGATGGAATCAAGAGTTCTGTTAGGTTCGAGATGCCTGTTAAACATCTTTGTGGAGGTGCAAGCAAGCCATTGGTTGTTTGAGTTCAGTGGCAGGAGGGCCTCTAAGACCAGGGTCCTCTCCCTGTATGGTGACAAAAGATTTTTCCAAATCCCAAGGCCTCCAGTGAGACTGGAGAGAGTTTCTTTTTTCCTATTGGAAGCCTTCTCTTTGTCCAGGGTTATAGCTGGGCATATGCCTCCTGAGTGGCCCTGAATAACCGCTAATGCTAACAGACTTGCTAAGTAGTGTGGAAGTTTTTAAACTCCTTCACGAAGTATTTTGTGCTTCCTGCAGTGTCTTCAGAGCCATGTCTAGCTTCATCTGCAGAGTCAGGTCTCCTGGGGCTTCCAGGATAAACTGGGTGGAAGCATTGGGGGAAGCTGTAGGTGACCCTGGACAGTATTTCCAGGACTCCAGGCTCCAAGCTGGTTGACTAATTAAGAAAGCAGAAGAAACTTTTGCTTTGCACAGACTCATTTCCAGCACAAAGAGCTTGGGGGAAAAAAAAAAGCCAGAAATTCCTCTACTCTGGGCAGGCCAAGCCTCACCCGAGTGTGCTGACTCAGAAATAGCAGCTGCTTGCCCTGGGAGCCAGCAGTTGTTGGCACAATCAAAGATCAATTAAAACATGCCATTCTGGTTTGTTCTCCCTACACCAGTCCTTCCAGGGCACTTCCTCTCACTTTCAGCTTCCTCCAAAGACTTCTTTCCTGCCTAGTTAACTTGGAGCCCAGTGGCCTGTGAAGGAGGTGGCTGGAAGGAGGGAGGAGCCGTGCACCAGCAGCTAAGACCTGGGGCTTGCTTGGCTTCCTCCAGCACCATTCCTGGGACTGTCAGTAATTCACTGACCTCCCTGGGCCTCTGGTTCCCCAACTACAAAGCAGATAGTGATTGTCCACCTTCCTGTCCTGTGCTTCCAGGGTCACCCTGAGGGTGAAGAGAGAATGCATATGGCCATGCTCCGTAAACTGTAGGCCCCTCTCCAAGTTTAGTGGTTTCTGTGACGTATAGCATATAGAATACGACAAAGTGTGTATTTTTAACCCATCTTAAAATTAACCCTAAGAGAAAAAAAAAAATGGAATCATTCTTTTCTAGTTGCAAAATAGTTTAAGGGGGAAGAAATCAATAATCCAGAAACTCCTGGAGTTTCTCGAAGTTGACATCTCCCTGGCCCCAGGGGCCCAGAAGAGGGGGTGTAACTGGGTGCCAGAGAATGGCTACAACACAGGGTTCCAGGAGCCTCCCAGGGAGGGTTGCCAGATCAAGTAAATAAAACTACAGTATGTCCAGTTAAGTTGGAATTTCAGATAAACAACACATAATTTTTAGTATAAGTATGTTCCAAATATTGCATGGGATACACTTATACTAAAAAATTATTCATTGTTATCCGGCAGCTCTACAGGATGCCTGGGTCACATCAAGCAGAGGATTCAGTAGGTCTAGAAAGCCACGCGGGTGGTCAATATGCCTCACTCGTGTCCCCAGGAGAGTGCCCTGCTTTCAGCGTAGGGTCTCCTTACCCTTCAAGCAATTCGGATTAAGGAAATGGTCTGCCTTTACTAATTCAGTATGTGTGTTTGAGGGCTTCCTATGTACAAAAGGGCATTGTCTAAATGTGCATGACCATAAATCTAGTCACTGTAGACTTAAAGCTCAGAGAGTGTTAGAGGAAGGAGAGGAGACCAGACTCAAAGGAGACAACAAGGTGAAAGGTGAGGAGGCTGTTTGCTGGGAGGAGGACTGAGGAGAAGCCAGGGGCAGGGGCTTCCCATCCCCCAGCACAGCCTCTTTCCCCGCTGACTGAGCGCTTGGACCCCCTAACTGTCATGCCCTTATGCAACTCCTCCCTGCAAAGTCCACACATTGCTGTCACTAGTGGGCTTTGGACACAGGCTTTTCAGTGAGGTGAAGGGAAGCAGTGAGGGAATTACCCTGGGCAACGCCTCTTCTGAGGGAAGCAAATTTGAGATTTTCTGCATAACTTGTCATTAGCAACACCAGACGTGCACAAAAAGGAGAAAGCAAAGAACACTGGCCACTGACCGTGCTGTACTCCCGCCTCAGGAGACACTTGTCTGGCCCCAGTGTCTCCTTCCTTCCCTTCCTTCCTGCCTTTCCTCATTATTTCCTGACTAACTACTCACAGAGGAGAATCAGCCGGAGTCCCACTAATAGGATGCCTACAATCAGAGGTAAGAAAGTTAAGAAGGGGAAAGAACTGAGGCCTGAGATCATGCCCAACTGAGGAATCCAGGAAGGCTTCCTGGAGGAGCTAGCATTTTGTTGTGAGGGCTGAAGCACACATAGGATTTGGACATGTAGTGATGGGTGGGTGGGGGAGACAGGTCACACACAAGCAGAGGAGAGCGCAAGGCAAGGAACAGAGCTGGAGAAGCCCAGAACACAAGAAGAAAGTGGTGATCAGGGAGATTTCAGACCATTCTGAGGTTGGTCTCAGGGTTCAAACCAGGGACTCAAGGGAAAGCAAAGTTTGCACTGTCCTAGGATGCTCAGAGAAACGTTCTGACCCACTTGTTTACCTGTTTTTCTCTTTCCCCTCACTTGAGCACATCTTTCTCTGTTGGAGACTCATTTATAATTCAGGCAACCTCCTTCAGAGGGAGCAGGTGTTTCTCTGGGATGAAGCACCTTGGGAAGCAGAATGTACAAGTGGAAAAAAGGCGTGTCACAGCAGAGCTGGGCAGAGAGAAAACTGGGTCGCAGCAAGGGCAGAGGAGGAGGAGGCTTGTTGGTATGCGGTGACGAGGCAGCAAAAGAGGAAATCATTCCCTTCCTATACCCGCTTCTGAAAATCTGGATTGACTTTACCCTCCTTCAGCCCCACTATCCATGATCTCATCACTAGACTGCCTTTCTTTGAATCTCAACACCCCCTTCCTCCTCCAAGATGTCCCTTTAAAAATGCTCACATCCTTATGAAGGACTGTCTACCCTGAGTTCCTCAGACAGCAGAGCCTGAGGTAAATAAGCTTAAGTATCTGTTTTATTAGGGTGTGCAACCCCAGGAGCAGAAGTAAGGGCAAAGGGGAGTGAGGCGGAGGGAGATCCAATAGAAGGGCATATTTTCAAGCTGGCCACAACTTGTATAAAAACCACAAGTGCTGCTTTCACGAGACCATCTTCTGAGAGGCCGTATGACAACCATATACAACATTCCTTCTCAGTCAGGAGAGGAAGGAAGAAGAATGCATCTGCAAGCTCCCATCTCCTATGGAGGCATTTGGCCCATGGGCATAAGTTCCTCTGCTCTTTCACATTGCACATGCGTGAGCACCAGGCAGGCCACGAGGCACTTTATGTGTCAGCGTCAACAGGTAAGCCCCATCCCCATGACGGTGGTGAATGGCGTGGCCGTGAGGTGAAGCACTGTGGTGGCCGGGCCTGGGTGAAGGTTATTGGGACCCACACAGAACTGGTCTGCAGTGGAGACTGGGGCTGAAACAAGTGGCCTTTGGAGAGGCCAGAGAGATTCTGGAGATGCCCATGTGGTATCTGGTTCAGGGACGTTCCTTCATCTTATTATTAGCAGCTGTCGCCTGGGTTACCAGTTAGCTCTTTAGCAGGTGCTTGACTGCTGGTGACCCCTGAGGACGGGAGCCAGACACGGCTTGGACGTGTCACGGGGTGGAGGTGCCGGGGACAGGGTGGGCATCAGGCAAGCTCACTTCCCCACCCCCGGTCCTAGGTTGGCGTGTGGCTGTGATGCGAATCACCCTGAAAGCCCATTTGGGCCGCTCACCTCTGGCTGGGAGGCAGGCCCCCAGAGGGCCCCGGCAAGCAAATGCAACCCCACTCGAAGACAAGACATGAAAGGGGCTCCTGAGGACCCAGCGTTATTGACGGCCTACTCAAGTCAGAGGAAATCAATAGCTCCCTAGAAACGGCTTTGGGGAATAAACAAGTGCCGATGAAGGAAAAGGAAAAACAAATACTTGCTCTCCGTGAGTGAGGGTGAGAGGATGTGTCAGGATTTCCCCCAGATTGACAGTGTTTCTATAAACTTTTGACTGACACCTGCCAAGAAGGAGGGTCTGTGTGTGTGAGTAGAAATGAACCACTAGATTGATTTTCTTTCCTTTTTTTAAAAATACATTTATTTATTTATTTATTTATTTTTGTCTGCGTTGGGTCTTTGTTGCTGCACGTGGGCTTTCTCTAGTTGTGGTGAGCAGTGGCTTCTCTTGCTGTGGAGCACGGGCTCTAGGCACACGGGCTTCAGTACTTGTGGCTTGTGGGCTCTAGAGCGCAGGCTCAGTAGTTGTAGCACACGGGCTTAGTTGCTCCGCGGCATGTGGGATCTTCCCGGACCAGGGCTCGAACCCGTGTCCCCTGCATTGGCAGGCAGATTCTCAACCACTGTGCCACCAGGGAAGCCCTAGATTGATTTCTTAATCTGATCTTCCCTTACCCATCCAGAGATTCCAAATTCCAAAAGAGAAAATTACATAGTTTTCTAAAACATATTAGTACCTTCTTTCCCAAAGCACTCAGGAAAATGAAAAAGGCTTTTAAAGCTCTAGAGGATGTATTTGAAATGCTGTGTACTTCTACCTTGGCAGTGAAAATAAAAACAAGCCCAAATTCCATTTGAATGGTAAGGTGTCTATCTAATACTTTTCTCCAGGAGTTCTGGGCCCTGCCGTGTGTAAACACTCTCTTCTTTCCCCTAAGGGAATTAGGTGGTCAGCATCATCGGCCCAGTTTGGCAGATAGTAAAGCAAAGCATGTGATGGGGGACTGATTTGTCCAAAAGAACACAGCAACAGTGTTAGGCATAGTTGTTCTCCACTTTGTCTTCTTGATTAAGTTGCTGTTTCAGACCAGAAATTATGGTAAGGACCCAATGAGATTAACGACCTCATTGTAAAGCGGGTAGACGAGGGGCACCAGGGATCACAGAGGGCCATTCCTTCAGGTCTGGACATTTGTTTTTTTTCTCATTCTAAAGCTGACGTCTCATCAGTGGCTGACAGGCCAGCACTCTGCTAAGCCAGCGAGGACTCTCCTGGGCCTCCCAGGACCTTTGTCTGGAATCAGGGTGCTGGCGTTCGCCCCAGTGACCTTGTGTGGCTTGTATCATGACCTGATGATACCTGAGTTCAGTCCCCCTTTGTTAAGGGCCTTCTATGTGCTGCCTGAGCGGGGCACTGAGTGAGGCTGCACTTGGCAGAGAGGCAGAAGAGAGAACCATTTGGTGCTGACTCCAGTGACTGTGACTGTGGCTGTGGGTTTCTGTCACCAGTATCCAGGGCACAGGGAAGGCAGCACAGTACTGTGGACAGCTGTCCCAGCTTTGGTTCGAACACCAGCTCTGTCATTTAGAGTTGGTGGTCTTGGGGAAGTGAGTCATTTAACTTTGCTGAACTTGGGCCTCCTCATCTGCTAAATGAAGGTAATGATCTCTACCTCAGAGCGAGGAGATTAAATTGTATAATATATGTAAGTTCCTGGCACACGGAGGCACTCAGTAATTACGGTCATTGTCATGACTGGTTTAGTCCCGGTGTCTCTAGGTGATCCTATTTTGTTAGGCTGGAAGCCGTGCTTCCCTGGTTCCCTTGGTCATTCCTGTTCAGGCTTGTATCTGTCAGGGAGGTCTACAGGTGAAAAATTACAGGCATTCTGGAGCTTGCCTCAAAGCACACCCATTGTTCCCACAGGAAAATCAGGAAGCTTCCAGACAGAAGGGCCCAGGCCCCCCATCCGGAGGGTGGGGTGGAGTGGTATTTGAACACACTTGTTTTTCTTTGCAGATTTTTTTTTGGCAGTCTGAAAGGGCAGAGCCTATTGCTAACGAGACAGTGTTTTCCATCTGTATCTTCCCTCTCAGATGTTGTCTGTCATTAGGCTTGGGGGTATGGGAGGGGATCAGATCTCCAGGGACTCAGGATCTGCCCCCAGATTTCCTAACTGGCTAGGAAGAATTCCTTTAAAAGAATGTTGGGGGGGCTTCCCTGGTGGTGCAGTGGTTGAGAGTCCGCCTGCTGATGCAGGGGACACGGGTTTGTGCCCCGGTCCGGGAAGATCCCACATGCCGCGGAGCGGCTGGGCCCGTGAGCCATGGCTGCTGAGCCTGCGCGTCCGGAGCCTGTGCTCCGCAGCAGGAGAGGCCACAACAGTGAGAGGCCCACGTACCGCAAAAAAAAAAAAGAATGTTGGGGAAGGAGACCAAGGTGGTTCCTGGAAAAGTTTCACGGTTAACCTCCCTCCTTCTCCTCTTCCTTCCCACTGCTCCAGAAGCTGCTCTTCTGATGCTGGCACAGCTGAGCTTGACATTGACAGACAAGCCCCGCCTCCTTTCCCACAATCCATTGCTGTGGGGCTCCTTTAACTGAAAGGTATGGCCTTGTGCCACTTGTGCCCTTTCTTGGGCCACACACAGCTCCATGAGTGGGTGAAACACACATTACAGATGTGCGCAGTTTGTGCAGGAGAGTGTGAATCTTTGTCATCTATAGGCTTTTGGTTTTTTCAAAGGTTACACGAGATACCGAGTACTGCCTTCCCCCTCATCCCCAATTCACATATTGAAGTCCTAACCCCCAGTACCTAAGAATGTGACTGGATTTGGAGATAAAAGTTTTAAAGAGGTAAGTAAGGTAAAATTAGGTCATATGGATGGGCCCTCATCCAATATGACTGGTATCCTTATAAGAAGAAATTTCGCCACAGACAGGTACAGAGAAAAGACCATGTGAAGATATAAGGAGAAGATAGCCATCTACAAGCCAACGAGAGAGGCTTCGGGAGAAACCAACACTGCTGACACATTGATCTTGGACTTCTAGCCTCTAGAACTGTGTGGAAATAAATTTCCATTGTTTAAGCCATCCAGACTATGGTACTTGTTATGGCATCCCCAACAAAGTGTACTTCCCATTTATGCACTGTCAAGTTTTGTGGTCTGTTTTTTTTTTTTTTTTTTTTTTTTGGAGTATAATTGCTTTAAAATGGTGTGTTAGTTTCTGCTTTATAACAAAGTGAATCAGATATACATATACATATGTTCCCATATCTCTTCCCTCTTGCATTTCCCTCCCTCCCACCCTCCCTATCCCACCCCTCCAGGTGGTCACAAAGCACCGAGCTGATCTCCCTGTGCTATGCGGCTGCTTCCCACTAGCTATCTACCTTACGTTTGGTAGTGTATATATGTCCATGCCTCTCTCTCGCTTTGTCACAGCTTACCCTTCCCCCTCCCCATATCCTCAAGTCCATTCTCTAGTAGGTCTATGTCTTTATTCCTGTCTTACCCCTAGGTTCTTCATGACATTATTTTTTCCTTAAATTCCATATATATGTGTTAGCATACGGTATTTGTCTTTCTCTTTCTGACTTACTTCACTCTGTATGACAGACTCTAGGTCTACCCACCTCATTACAAATAGCTCAATTTCGTTGCTTTTTATGGCTGAGTAACATTCCATTGTATATATATGCCACATCTTCTTTATCCATTCATCCGATGATGGACACTTAGGTTGTTTCCATCTCCAGGCTATTGTAAATAGAGCTGCAATGAACATTTTGGTACATGACTCTTTTTGAATTATGGTTTTCTCAGGGTACATGCCCAGTAGTGGGATTGCGGGGTCATATGGTAGTTCTATTTGTAGTTTTTTAAGGAACCTCTGTACTGTGCTCCACAGTGGCTATATCAATTTACATTCCCACCAACAGTGCAAGAGGGTTCCTTTTTCTCCACACCCTCTCCAGCATTTATTGTTTCTAGATTTTTTGATGATGGCCATTCTGACTGGTGTGAGATGATATCTCATTGTAGTTTTGATTTGCATTTCTCTAATGATTAATGATGTTGAGCATTCTTTCATGTGTTTGTTGGCAGTCTGTATGCCTTTTTTGGAGAAATGTCTATTTAGGTCTTCTGCCCATTTTTGGATTGGGTTGTTTGTTTTTTTGTTACTGAGCTGCATGAGCTGCTTATAAATTTTGGAGATTAATCCTTTGTCTGTTGCTTCATTTGCAAATATTTTCTCCCATTCTGAGGGTTGTCTTTTGGTCTTGTTTATGGTTTCCTTTGCTGTGCAAAAGCTTTGAAGTTTCATTAGATCCCATTTGTTTATTTTTGGTTTTATTTCCATTTCTCTAAGAGGTGGGTCAAAAAGGATCTTGCTGTGATTTATGTCACAGAGTGTTCTGCCTATGTTTTCCTCTAAGAGTTTGATAGTTTCTGGCCTTACATTTAGGTCTTTAATCCATTTTGAGCTTATTTTTGTGTATGGTGTTAGGGAGTGATCTAATCTCATACTTTTATATGGACCTGTCCAGTTTTCCCAGAACCACTTATTGAAGAGGCTTTCCTTTCTCCACTGTACATTCCTGCCTCCTTTATCAAAGATAAGGTGACCATATGTGCATGGGTTTATCTCTGGGCTTTCTATCCTGTTCCATTGATCTATCTTTCTGTTTTTGTGCCAGTACCATACTGTCTTGATTACTATAGCTTTGTATTATAGTCTGAAGTCAGGGAGCCTGATTCCTCCAGCTCCGTTTTTCGTTCTCAAGATTGCTTTGGCTATTCGGGGTCTTTTGTGTTTCCATACAAATTCTGAAATTTTTTGTTCTACTTCTGTGAAAAATGCCAGTGGTAGTTTGTTAGGGATTGCATTGAATCTGTAGATTGCTTTGGGCAGTAGAGTCATTTTCACAATGTTGATTCTTCCAATCCAAGAACATGGTATATCTCTCCATCTATTTGTATCATCTTTAATTTCTTTCATCAGTGTCTTATAATTTTCAGCATACAGGTCTTTTGTCTCCTTAGGTAGGTTTATTCCTAGATATTTTATTCTTTTTGTTGCAATGGTAAATGGGAGTGTTTTCTTGATTTCAGTTTCAGATTTTTCATCATTAGTGTATAGGAATGCCAGAGATTTCTGTGCATTAATTTTGTATCCTGCTGCTTTACCAAATTCATTGATTAGCTCTAGTAGTTTTCTGGTGTAGCATCTTTAGGATTCTCCATGTATAATATCATGTCATCTGCAAAGAGTGACAGCTTTACTTCTTCTTTTGTGATTTGGATTCCTTTTATTTCCTTTTCTTCTCTGATTGCTGTGGCTAAAACTTCCAAAACTATGTTGAATAAGAGTGGTGAGAGTGGGCAACCTTGTCTTGTTCCTGATCTTAGTGGAAAGGCTTTCAGTTTTTCACCATTGAGGACGATGTTGGCTGTGGGTTTGTCATATACGGCCTTTATTATGTTGAGGAAAGTTCCCTCTATGCCTACTTTCTGGAGGGTTTTTATCATAAATGGGTATTGAATTTTGTCAAAAGCTTTCTCTGCATCTATTGAGATCATCATATGGTTTTTCTCCTTCAATTTGTTAATATGGTGTATCACGTTGATTGATTTGCATATATTGAAGAATCCTTGCATTCCTGGAATAAACCCCACTTGGTCATGGTGTACGATCCGTTTAATGTGCTGTTAGATTCTGTTTGCTAGTATTTGTTGAGGATTTTTGCATCTATGTTCCTCAGTGACATTGGCCTGTAGTTTTCTTTCTTTGTGACATCCTTGTCTGGTTTTGGTATCAGGGTGATGGTGGCCTCGTAGAATGAGTTTGGGAGTGTTCCTCCCTCTGCCATATTTTGGAAGAGTTTGAGAAGGATAGGTGTTAGCTCTTCTCTAAATGTTTCATAGAATTCGCCTGTGAAGCCATCTGGTCCTGGGCTTCTGTTTGTTGGAAGATTTTTAATCACAGTTTCAATTTCAGTGCTTGTGATTGGTCTGTTCATATTTTCTATTTCTTCCTGGTTCAGTCTTGGAAGGTTATACCTTTCGAAGAATTTGTCCATTTCTTCCAGGTTGTCCATTTTATTGGCATAGAGTTGCTGGTAGTAGTCTCTTAGGATGCTTTGTATTTCTGCAGTGTCTGTTGTAACTTCTCCTTTTTCATTTCTAATTTTGATATAAGTCCTCTCCCTCTTTTTCTTGATGAGTCTGGCTAATGGTTTATCAATTTTGTTTATGTTCTCAAAGAACCAGCTTTTAGTTTTATTGATCTTTGCTATCGTTTCCTTCATTTCTTTTTCATTTATTTCTGATCTGATCTTTATGATTTCTTGCCTTCTGCTAACTTTGGGCTTTTTTTGTTCTTCTTTCTCTAATTGCTTTACGTGCAAGGTTAGGTTGTTTATTCGAGATGTTTCCTGTTTCTTAAGGTAGGATTGTATTGCTATAAACTTCCCTCTTAGAGCTGCTTTTGCTGCATCCCATAGGTTTTGGGTCGTTGTGTCTCCATTGTCATTTGTTTCTAGGTATTTTTTGATTTCCTCTTTGATTTCTTCAGTGATCACTTCGTTATTAAGTAGTGTGTTGTTTAGCCTCCATGTGTTTGTATTTTTTACAGCCCTTTTCCTGTAATTGATATCTAGTCTCATAGCATTATGGTCAGAAAAGATACTTGATACAATTTCAACTGTCTTAAATTTACCAAGCCTTAATTTGTGACCCAAGATGTGATCTATCCTGGAGAATGTTCCATGAGCACTTGAGAAAAATGTGTATTTTGTTGTTTTTGGATGGAATGTCCTATAAATATCAATTAAGTCCATCTTGTTTAATGTATCAATTAAAGCTTGTGTTTCCTTATTTATTTTCATTTTGGATGATCTGTCCGTTGGTGAAAGTGGGGTGTTAAAGTCCCCTACTATTAGTGTGTTACTGTTTATTTCCTCTTTTATGGCTGTTAGTATTTGCCTTATGTATTGAGGTGCTCCTATGTTGGGTGCATAAATATTTACAATTGTTATATCTTCTTCTTGGATCGATCCCTTGATCATTATGTAGTGTCCTTCTTTGTCTCTTCTAATAGTCTTTATTTTAAAGTCTATTTTGTCTGATATAAGAATTGCTACTCCAGCTTTCTTTTGGTTTCCATTTGCATGGAATATCTTTTTCCATCCCCTTACTTTCAGTCTGTATGTGTCTCTAGGTCTGAAGTGGGTCTCTTGTAGACAGCATATATATGGGTCTTGTTTTTGTATCCATTCAGCCAATCTGTGTCTTTTGGTGGGAGCATTTAGTCCATTTACATTTAAGGTAATTATTGATATGTACCTTCCTATTCCCATTTTCTTAATTGTTTTGGGTTTGTTATTGTAGGTCTTTTCCTTCTCTTGTGTTTCTTGCCTAGAGACGTTCCTCTAGCATTTGTTGTAAAGCTGGTTTGGTGGTTCTGAATTCTCTTAGCTTTTGCTTGTCTGTAAATGTTTTAATTTCTCCATCAAATCTGAATGAGATCTTTGCTGGGTAGAGTAATCTTGGTTGCAGGTTTTTCTCCTTCATCACTTTAAATATGTCCTGCCAGTCCCTTCTGGCTTGCAGAGTTTCTGCTGAAAGATCAGCTGTTAACCTTATGGGGATTCCCTTGTGTGTTATTTGTTGTTTTTCCCTTGCTGCTTTTAATATGTTTTCTTTGTATTTACTTTTTGACAGTTTGATTAATATGTGTCGGCATATTTCTCCTTGGATTTATCCTGCATGGGACTCTCTGTGCTTCCTGGACTTGATTAACTATTTCCTTTCCCATATTAGGGAAGTTTTCAACTATAATCTCTTCAAATATTTTCTCAGTCCCTTTCTTTTTCTCTTCTTCTTCTGGAACCCCTATAATTCGAATGTTGGTGCGTTTAATGTTGTCCCAGAGGTCTCTGAGACTGTCCTCAGTTCTTTTCATTCTTTTTTCTTTATTCTGCTCTGCAGTAGTTATTTCCACTATTTTATCTTCCAGGTCACTTATCCGTTCTTCTGCCTCAGTTATTCTGCTATTG